TCCTCTTAGCTACGCCAGCGATTTACTAATGAACACGTCATTACTCTTAAAAAATGCGGTTTAATTTTTACCAAAAACTGATTTGCCCTATTAAAAAACGAAACTGAATAGCGTTTCAATTGTGATCTAGAATGAGCGATCAAAATATAAAAATACCATTCAGCAATATAATATGAACGAAACATACCAAAGAATACCTTCCACGTCTTCCACGTCTATTCGCGTTGACTCCATCACTACTTGTGAATTCAGAGAATGATGCCTCCATACTGGACATTATGTTCGTTTAATGCTAAACTCCGCGCAATATTAATATTTTACGTTAACTGACTCATTACTTTTCACGTTATTAATAAATAGTGCGTCGGTTAACGTAAAATTCATGCGGCGTCTACGACAAACAAAACTGGTGAAGGCTTCATGAAATCCTGTCAGAAATTACCGAATGAGAACAATTTCCAATCTCGACCGAAACTCTTCGGGAATATTGGACAAAACTAGCACCAAAGAAGTTCAACTCTAATCGAAGATTACTCGCTGATTCAGCCGCATTAACAAGAGTGAATGAACTGCATTCGCGTTGGGAACAAATGAGTGATGGCTGGGCTAAATTACATATTTGAATTCTTCAATCGCTTTTGTTATTGAGAATAGGCGATCTACGAGTTCAATCCAACTGAATTTCTTTGCAACCGTAATTGGTGATGAATATCGCATTGTTCTTAAAGAAGACGCGGCTTAATTTTGCTCTCAAACTGAATCTTCATTAACTGACACAACAAAAGGCACCGATTTTCATTCATCTCGTTTGTAATTTTCCGATGGATCGGATGTATTCTCGAAAAAACCAACTTGTAGCTTTGCGTTACGCAGATTCGTTAAATTACCGCAATAATCAAATTCATATCGGATAATTTCACTGTATACTCTATCTGGGATACCCGCGGCCGTAGCGTATGGTCGAATGTACCGCAGATATTTTTTTTTCAAACATGAATTCTCAATGAAATGCTTCTTCAAAAAACAACGTTACAGCAAAAATTTCGAACAGTTTCGAGTTTCTTTGGTGAGCAAATATAAGCCTAAATAACATATTTGTAAAATAAACGTATGGGCTTCCCAAAGGAGAATCTGAATCAAGGAAATGAAATTGCACGAACACAACGACCTGTGATTTTAAAAAATCTAGAATTTCAAAGTACAGCTTGCTGGACACAACTAAACACAGAATGTGCTTCGAACGGGATTACCTTTTAAATGAATGAGGAATAGATAAAGTGAGGGAGGCTGCATGGCGTGACAGCAAAATATATTAGCGGGGTAAATGAGACCATCGCACACTCACAGAGGAGATTTGAAACGATTCGAAAGGTTGTGTATCGCAATACGCGGATTTGGTAGTGCATTTCGTCTCGCAATAAGGATGGATGAATGAATAAACCGAAATGATTACATATCTCATCCGATATTAAGATGTCTACAATGAAGTTGAACCAATGAACGCTTCTTGGTAAGTAAATCGCATTCCATCCTAAATGAACAATGTATTCAAATAATCAGAAAATTTGTCATTGGATTGATGCGATAGCCGAAATGTTAGTGCTTACATACTTCTACCTTTTATCTATCGTCTTATTCTATTTCCACACATCTTCACCATCACCGTCCTCTCAACAAATCCAATAATTAAATTGCACCTATCAATCGACCAATCCGAACCGAGCAACCTTCCTCCCTCCCTCTGTAACATTCGACAATTCCAACGTTAAAAAACGTCTTAGTGATTTAGTTGACCAGATGTTCACCAATAACACTGCAGCAGAAGGCAAGAATGGAGTCAAAAAATCTCAGTTTATCACATAATCAATGATCAATTTTCCGGATATCAATAACTATGCAGCGCCACTGAGCACCACAACACCTTATGCGTAGTATTTAATAAGATAGTCAATTGACGGTGATGTTCGACTTTGAACAGAATTTTTTTGGTAGAAATTAAGCACGCACACTTTTCATTTACAGTTGGGTTGGGAAAAATCAGAGCAACAATTCAGTATAGCAATTTCAAGAAGTCCTTTTTCTAATGAAGTCATTTTTTAAGTCGCCACCTCATTCAAAAATTTTACAGCGGTTGACAAGATTTTGCAAACTCTCAATATTTATTACTTGAAAATTTCTTGGACCTGATCAGTTTTCAAAGCCACTGCAGTAGACGTTCCAAAAACTAACAATAGTCTCTGAACGAAAACATAGTTAGACGTTTTCAGTGAAACAATGAAAGAATTTGTGTAAATTTCCGTGTGCTCAAAACTGGTCAGCATTCCGAGTGAGTAAATGAATGCTCTAAACACGCAATCATTTTCTGTCGCTAATTCTGCCCTGATGAGGAAATTTTCAAACGAGCGTGAGACGATAATTAGGTTAGATATCAAATTAAGTTAATCTAATAACAGGCCAATCTCATTAGCAGATAATGTTTCTAAAAATAAACTGATGTTCACGTGTAAATTTGTCAGTGTTGTTAGAACTAGTGCTCAAATCTAATTCGACATCAGTCACACTCCGAAACAATCCAACGACCGATTCGATTACGTTTCTTCGTCACCAACAGAACACAGTTACGATTTCACGCATTTCGTAACTGAATTATTAGTCTTCACGCTGAACAAAGTTCTAAAGCGATCGTTGGTTTATGCTAGCGCGCAAAAAAATACACGGAATTATGGTTATTCAGAGAAGTGACTATCGTAAAATCCATTGATACGCGAATTGATAAAATTTTCGAAATGGCAAACATTTCTTGACGTACAAGA